TTTTTTTGCTGTGAAGAAGAGGCATATGATCTCTGGAGATGCAGATTCTCAGCTTTGAGAACTGTAAAACCAAGCATCTGTGATAATATCTTCTAGATAGAAAAATTGCCCAATAATCTTACAGAAACCTCTGGAAGAGCATGATAGTGTGAATGGGTTAATGGAATTCATTTACCAGCATATTTAAACGTTACATAAATATACAGCCTCATGCTTTATATTATACATTATTTATATATAATAAAAAACTAATCCTTATTTCATGGCAAATAACCTTTGGACTATAATGTGTCTTAAGCAGAAAACTATCTTCAAAAAGCATTTTATTTAAAAAATCCAATTTTTAAAATTTAAATTTAAAAGTCATTCATTGTTTTCCACCATGGCATTCAGTATTATGGACATAAAAGCGTTGGGTCACGTGTGTAAAATGTTGATTTCAGGATATATTACATTGAAAATTGGATCTGGTAACAGAATATCAGTAGAGAACAGATACTAGAGTTCAGATTATGTACAACAGTGTTTTAGAACTTTAAAGTGATAAGTATAATGCACAGTTGTTCAGCACTATCTGGCTATAGCATTATGAACCAGGTGAACTTTCCAGATTATCTTCAAGGGGAAGATCTGCATAGATTATATTAGAGTAATTAGAAACAATTTTATAATTTTATGCTTTGTCCAGGAAAAAATTAATAAATTCTGTGTATTGATCATTTTCATGGAATTTTTAAAACTGTCCCTTTAAATTTTAATATGTATCACATGTGCCTCTGGATTCCAGTGTCCATAAATTAAGCCAGCATGATTAATGATCATAAACGATGGAAGTTGTAGTCTAAGATCATTTGGAGGGCCACAGGTTCTCTATTCATGGCTTAAGTAAAAAGAATAAAGGAGAACTTTAAAAAAAAAAGGTAAATGTGGGAAGAAGTATAGAGAAAAGCTATTTGTATTCAGCATTATTTGTTGCTCTGGGATTTCATTAGGTTTTCTGATTATTGTGTATAATAAAGATATGAGAGGAATGTATTCATTCCCTTTGCATTTTTGAATATTATTGAATGCAGCAGAAATACAGTTAAGTAATGTATAGGAACAGATTACAGCATTTTAAATTACCATTATGGGGTTAGTGCTATTGATTTTGTGTTAGACTAGAGATTGTGCTGAGAAATAAAGCATTAGTACTCAGATCTTTAATCCTGAAACAGGAAATTTTTTTTTTCTTAATAGCCAATATACATATATTGCTCATGGTAAAAGATTTCCATGTTAAATACCAGTAGAATTAACAACATCAGTTTTCCTACCATATCATTTCAGGTCCCCTTTGTCCTGCTGAAATGTACTCTGAAGTATGTTTAGCATGGCAAGGCCTGTGCTTTTAAGCTATTTAAGACTACTTTTTCAAACAAAGTATTCCTTAAAAATCTAAATTGTTTCATGAAGGATTCCTAATAACATTCAAAAGAGCCACAGTCATTTTCAAAAGCTGTTGTTAGTTTAAAAATGAATAATGCTTCTTCACAAAAAAGCAAATATTCTGTTTTCTTACCTATATAAGAATAAAAAGGTTAAAGAGTTCTTTCTGTTTTAATTCCTGAAGTAATTAATTAGAATATTTCTCAAATTGATTGTTTTTTTTTTTTTTCAACAGACTTGGGAAAGACCTTGTTGTGTTCTGTTGCTCATAGCACAATACACTATGCTAATGCTACCTGCCCATGTCTAGGTATACCATACTATGGGCAATTCAGTTATTACTTGGCCATGGTATTTTTCTGGAAAGTAAATTAAGCTTTAAAATGTTTAGGCTGGATATTAGGAACAGTGAGACAAAATACTTGTTCTTACCAATGAGTTCTTGGCAGTCATAGATTTTATTAATACATCTTCATTGTCATGTTCCTTCAGATTAGAACAGAATATTTTTATACAACCTAATTAGCCAAAGCTTGATGAGTGGTGACTGAAGTAATAAATACCATAAAATACAGCATAGAATAAAACAGCAATAAAACATAACAAAATTATTAGTATTATGTATAATTTTAAAATGCATTTATACAACAAAAGCCAGTTCACACTCTTGGGCCTGCTGCAAAAGAACATCTGCCTTCACCCTGATATGCAATTTGGGAATTAGTAAATGCCTCAGCAAAGAGGTTAGTCTTAACCTGGTACTGAAAAGTTAGTAAAGTTGGTGCCAAGGAGGCCTCATTGGGAAGATCATTCCATAATTTGGGGGCTACCACAGAGAAGGCTCTTCTCTTATTGCCACCAGCCAAGACTCCTTTGGAGGTAACATTCAGAAAAGGGCTTCAGATTTTGAGTGTATTGTCCTGGTACATCATAGTTGGAAGAAGCATTATGGTCCCAAGCCATGTATAGCTTTATAGGTTAAAATCAGCAACTTAAATTGGGCTCAGAAGTGTGCAGGCAGCCAATGCAACCAAGTAGGGACAGGAAATTTATGTTCAGACCCAATTAGTCTGGCTGCCACAATTTGCTCAAGCTGCAGCTTCCTAGCTTTCTTAGGGACAGCCCCATGCAGAACTTGGCCAACCTTAGAGGTCAGAGCTTGGTCTCAGAAAGTGGAGTGCCCTCTCCCCCACTATTTATTTAACTTCTATACTGCCCAATAGCAGAAACTATCTAGGTGGCTTACAGCAATCCATTAAAATACAATCTAAACTATACTACAATATAAAAACCTAGTGGAATTGTTATATAGAAATGTAGAACCACATTTAAAACACATATAAAATTTCAGTTACTTAAGCAAAATAAAATCTTGTTGAACCTGATTAAGCAACAAACAAAGCCCCAGTAAACTAATTAAATGCCCTAGAAGAAAGGAAAGTCTTGACCTGTGCTGAGGATGGTAAGGCTGGTGCCAGGTGGGTCTCAGTAGGGAGCTTCTCCCATAACTGGGGGCCACCATTGAAAAGACCCTTCTTGTTGCCATCAACCAAGCCTCCCTTCAAAGTGGCAGTGTCAGAGGTGAGCCCCAGAGGTTGATAGCAGTGTCTGGGTAAATTGTGGGTTTTTATCAGGCATTACATCACTTGCAGCCAGCATGGAAAGAACCATTGCTAACTGCAGCTCCAAAGTCAGAGGAGCTACTTCAGAGGTTTTGCTGGAGGGAGGTATTCTGGGAGCACCTCAGGCTTCTCTACTAGCATTCTGGGCAAAAATGCTTTGATTGCAAAAATCAGCTCTTTTTTTTGCAAGGCAGGAGAAGTACAGAGAGGACCTTGATCTTTGTGCTTCCTAGGATGCCCACAGTCCTCTGTGTTCAGAAGTTTATGGGCACCCTTATTGGATTGTGCTTTTAGTGTCCCATAGAGAGGT